ACAGCAGAGCTGCTCCAGCCCTCGCATCATCCTGGTGGCCTCCTCTGGACTTGCTGCCCAGGGCAGGGGCAGTTTGTTTCTCAGGCAGACAAGGCACAGTCTGAGCTGCTGATTAGGAATCCATTTCCTAGGGAACTGGGGCCGGAGCAGTTGCTGAAGCCTGGCAGTAACATGTTCTCTGCTACCAGTGCTTTCAGCATGTGGTTTGCTCCCTCAGCCCCCAGAGACATTTTCACTCATCAGTGGGAACTTTATCTCCCTGTGTCACCTGGGGCAGCAGGCCCGTGGGGAGCGCAGGACGGCACTTCTTCCTCACCCTTGTTTTTCCCCACAGCCTGCGCTGAACGGTGCCCCTGGCTTCATCTGCTGGTCACGGGGATTCATGGAGCTGGGAGTGACCGGGAGCCGAGCGGAGCTGGTGGATTCCCTGAAGGTTTATTCGTCCCACAGAGGAAACCCACCACTGCTGCTGTTCCCGGAGGAGGCTGCCACCAACGGCCGGGCCGGCCTGCTCCGCTTCAGGTACTGGGGAGGGGCATTCCCTGGTGGGGCTCTCAGCGTTGTTTTAGCTTTGGGGTCATTCACTGCCGAATTCTTCCTTTTCAGCTCTTGGCCGTTCTCAATCTTGGATGTGGTTCAGCCAGTTGCCCTACAAGTTCAGAGGCCTTTGATCACTGTGGTGAGTCAGGGACGTAGGGCAAGGAGGAGCCGTGGAGGCGTGCGCCGTGCGAGGGTCTGAAGCCTGCGGGTAGCGCAGCCTGGCTTTGTCTCGTGTCACCCCAAGGACCAGCTTCTCAGTGCTGATGCTGCTGTTTTCCAAGCGCCTTTCCCGGGGAACTCCCGCTCGGTCAATTGCTCTCTGAGTTACGCTGGCAGTTCTGAGAAATGTTGTAGTGGCTCATCTGACAATGTGCCGCCCGGCTCCTGCGACAGCATCGCTGTGTCTCCTCTCCTCTGTGTGAGACCCCTGCTTTTGAAGCTCCAGAGGTTAGGCAGGGCTCTCTGGATTAGCTTCTTGAACTCGTGTGTCTCCCAAACGCAGATATGTGACAGGATGCAACGTCAGCTTCAGAAGAGTGGCAGAGTTCACCATGGTAATACCAGCATTGCTAAACAGTTTGCAACAAAACTGTTCTCAGCTTATTTACAGAGAGAGATTTTATTGAATTTCTTACTTCTTGGTATGATTTATGGATCTACTTGATTAAAAGACGCATTTTATATTTGCCAGACGTTTTAGTTGATTGTCTGTTGTCCATCTCTTGAAGGCAGTCAGGCACAGTGGATAGATTTAAAGCCACTTAACCAGCAGGTCACAAAACATTGCTCTTGTACTCAAACATCAGCAGGTATTTTGGAGTGAGGTTCTGTTGGGGGTTAGTTCTTTGCCCAGTGCAGGTGACAATCCCGAGATCCCTGGTGGTAGAGTTTGTGTTGGTGAGTAACAAAGAAGTTGGATTATTGATTGTCATCCAGTGAACTGCTGATAGCTGCCGGTGACCTGCTGTTACTTCCACGTCTGACGTGGTCTGTGGGTGCACGACAAGAGGAATATCTGGCAGGGTGAGGAGCACAGCGTCAGCTGCGTGTGTGCAGCGGTGAAAACTACTAAAATACGATGTGAAGCTTTGGTGACCCCACTGCCAAGAAAGTGGGGCTGTCATAGGGAGAGTTGGAGGAGGCCACGAGCAGGAGGCAGAATCCAGAGAGCAGCACTCACAGGCAGGGAGGTGGTTGTGGATAGCTGCTGGCACGGCGGAGGAGAGGCTCAAGAGGGGAGAGTTCTTGGGGTGTTTTCTGACCAGGCACACAGCAGCAGTCTTTGCACACGCTGACACTAAATGTTGGTACTGCACAATTTCAGTTTGGGATTCAGACGCAGTTTTCTGACAGTGAGGATACTTTAAATGTGTGAATGACTGCTGCAGAGGAGTGGAGAGCTGTGCTGTTCCGGACTGTTTATAATGAATATCTTTTCTTTTCATGGTTTTGGCTCCTCTGAGAAATTCTGTGAGATGTGACAAGGTGTGTATTTGTCTGCACATCCTCCCGAGGGTTGGGGAGAGCAGCAGGCACTGCAGAGCTGTTTGAAGGTCCTGGTTATGGTCACTTCTTGGCTCAGGTTTTTACCTTCAGAGGTCGAGTGGAATATTTTTGCTCTGCATGAATATTGACTCAGTAAATCCGGGGGGATTTCTTATGTAATTTTAAACCATCAGAAACTTCCAGGGACTGGAGATGTGCTACTTTGAACGGTTTGATCCGTGCTTTACAGAAAGCTTTCTTAGACGCTTAGGTGATACATATCAGGCACTGGGCTGAGCAAAGCACCAAATCTGGGTTTAAGAAAGAATCTTCTCCAGCTCCACTCGGCTGGAACCTTGAAGGAGCGTATTGTTCTGTGGATGAGGCAGCTTAACTGAGGTCTGGCTATTGGCACTGGATTTTAAGTTTCTTAGATCTGTTTATCCAAGAGGGAGGTTTCTTTGTGTTACCCTTCAGGGCTGTGGTTTCTGGGCTTTTCTCATTTATAGCACCTCTTTCCAGGCCATGGAATAAACCAGGCATGAGGGCTTGTCTTGGAGCCACGCTGCTTTTGTTGAGGACAATGTCCTGTGTAGAAGAAGCCAAGGCAGTGACATTGCGAGCTGTGGATCTTGAGATGTTGGTGTTCCTTCCAGCTGGTGGAAAGTTTGGGCGCTGCAGGGTAAAAGTAACCAACTACAAAAATCCCAGGAAGAGTGTCCATTCAATAGCAAATCCCTTAGGATATCTGAAAATTGCAGGTTGGGAGGAATCTCCGGAGGCCTCCAGAGGTTCAAGGTTCTGCTCACTCTGCTCTGGGTTCCTCAGGACAGTCCAGCTGCTCGGGGCTGTGTCCCGGTGGGAAGGATGGAGAGAGCCCCACTTGGGAGCCCCTGTTCCAGTGCTCTCTGCTGGGAGGCGTCGCAGGGCTGCTTAGGGAAAAGGTTATTTACTCATTTTTAGGAATAGGAAGAAAGTAATAAATTACAGCTCACCTTTAGGGATTTATCTGCAGAGAGAAGTTGTTTAAGACTTCACAGCGCAGCCTGTGTGGAAATGATGAGCTAAAGCTTACGGGAGTTGTGACATCACGTGGGCTGTTCCCATCAGAATAAGGGAGGGTTGGTGCTGGTTCTAAGGAAGTGTCAGGAGGTCTTAAGGCATTTTTGGTCCTTTCTGAAGGACCTAAGGTTTGTGATCCTTTCTGAAGGCACAGGCTCGTAGGGAACGTGGGGATATTGAGGGAAAGTCTTGCTGTCCTCATGGGAGGAAGAGGTGACTCGGAGCAGTGAAAACTTGGACTCTCTTGCTCTGCCTGGTGATGACTAAGGAAGGTGGCCCTGCCCTGGGGCGTGCCCACGCTGTGCCAAGCCTTTGCCATTCCCTCTTTCCTGGCTGTCTGCGTCTCTCTGCCCGCGTAGCCGTTCCTCGCTGCCGTGGCTTAGCTGTGTCCTGCCTGCCTGCTGCCCCGAGGAGACCTGACTGACTCCCCTGGGCTGAGATCTCATTGTGTTCTCTTCCCCAGAGCGTGGCTGACTCCTCCTGGATTACAGAGCTGCTCTGGACCTTCTTTGTTCCCTTCACAGTTTATCAAGTAAGGTACTATCTCTCTCTCTTTCGTTTGGGGCAGGGTTTAGGGTGGGCAGGGAGCCTGATGCTGTATTAAGAGATCTTTTGGTCAGTGCTAACGCACACCCTCACTGTGGTATCTCGGCATGGCTCCGTTCAACATTATTTGGTCCATGCCAGGTCCAGCTTCTGGACCAACTTCAACCAGCTTCCAAAGGGGAGAGGGCTGTTGGTTCCTGCTCTCAGTTGGTGAAGGAGAGGAGTCTCTCAGGGCTTTTATGTCAAGTTTACTGGGTGTATTTTTGAAGCGAGCTGCTCTGCTGGAATTCACCTAGGGTTGCTCAGGTCCCAGGGTGATTCCCTGCAGGCAGCTCAGTCCTATAGCGTCTGCCTCTTCCCTGCAATCCCTTGTGAATTGCAGAGGTGGTTCACACACCTGTCCAGGTGAGCCCAGCCTGGCTGAGTGGCTTTGGTGTAATAAGGGTTCGTAGGTGGCAGAAGGGGCTTGGAGTCAAATTTAAGGGATGGGGTATTTCATCAGAGAAAAGTCTCGTGCTGTAGCTTCCCCCAGCCCTGTCTCCTCGAATCCTGCTGATCTGTTTTCTAATTTCATGTAAATAGCACTGGCTCCTCATTTGGGGCATTTCTGGGAATTCCATTAGGAGATACTTTGCATGTCATGTTTGAGTGCTCCTCAAGGTTCAGTTTTGTCTTCGGAGCTGTGCCTTGCCCTTAACTCTATAAGCTGGTGTTGAGGTTTGACGCTGATCTTACGGGGAGAGGTTTGCGGTGAGCAGGGCGAGTTGAGGTGGGGATGGCACCGCTGCACCATTGATCCCAGGCGGGGCTGGCTCCTCCAGCAGCCCATGAAGCAGTCAGCCCAGTGCTGTTGTCCCCATTCAGGTGGATGCCGTCTGTCCCCAGACGAGCTGAAGAGCTGAGTGAGGATTTTGCGCTGCGAGTTCAGGAGGTAGGAGGATGGCGTGGGAGAGGGACGTGTAGGACTGCTGCAATTCGGGACGGTCACAGAGGAGAGTGGGGTGCAAGCAGAGTTGCAAAGGGCGTTTCTGGATGGGTCTATGTGTATGATGGGAACTCTGGCCCGTATTTATTGCCCCTTATAATTATTCAGTTTTTCCATGGCCTGTTTGCTGCCCCCCATTTATCCTTTCTGCCGGTTATCAAGGCTCTCCCCATCTAGTTCAAACCTTTCGCTCTCTTTTCATAACACCACAAATCAAACAAAGCAATTGTTTCTCCACCTTTCCCTTATGTGCTGGGTACTTCGTAGCTCCTGTACCAAAGATCTTGTATCTCCCTGTCAGCCTGTTTTGGCAGGGTGATATTGCCTGCTCCTGCTCCTTCACGTGCTCCATGCAACACTGAAATGCATCACTGAGGCCCTGGAGAAATCAGTTCCCAGTCCTCTTCCCCTGGCTGTGGCTCCACGCAGGCCTGTACCTCTGACACGCTGCCCTGCAAGATGGGAAGCCTGGGCCAGGCGGGTTGTGTGTGGTGCACGTGTGACTCTTCTCTACGTTTCTGCAGCTCTTGGCCATGGAGCTGGGTGTGGTATCCACACGGCTCACGGCGGCAGATAAAACTGAGCACATGAAGAGGCTGAGACACACGTCACATCTCCCCTTTTCCCCAGGTAGGTGTCCTGGGTAGTGTCCTGACTGCGGAACTGCTTTTCCTTTGGGGAGGCCTCTGCTTGCTCTTGGTTACTCGGGTGTGGAGGGAGAGGAGAAGGGCTGTTTGTCATCCTCCTGGGGAGCAGGGGCTGCCTGTGTGCTCTGGGCTGGGGGTTAATCATAGAATCCCAGACTGGTTTGGGTTGGAAGGGACCTTAAAGCTCATCCAGTTCCAACCCCCCTGTCATGAGCAGGGACACCCCACACTAGATGAGGTTGCTCAGAGCTTCATCCAACCTGGCCTTCAACACAAAGCTCACTGGCAGGGAAAGAACCACCACTCCTGAGCACAGAGATGATGATCGTGTGCAGGAAGTCCAGCTCATCACACTGGTTCATACTGGAGAGAGTGGAGCTGTAAAAGCCGAGCACCTTTACGCCACCCTCTTGTGCCCACTGTTCTTCCTCTTGCAGCCTCAAGCCAGCCCCTGGCAGCCAGGCCCAGGACACCTTCCAGCCTGGCTGGTGTTGCTCCTGAGGACGTGCGGATCACGGCGATGGCTCAGCGGGTCAAGGAGGTGCTGCCTCATGTGCCTCTGGAGGTCATCAGGATAGACCTGGGTGAGCGATGCCTGGGGTGTGAGCAGGGACACAGGGTCACCTTCCATGCCAAGTCTCTGTGCTACCTGAAAGCAGCAACCTCGTCCCTGCTGTGCCGTGGAGCACAATGGCAGCGAGGATGTGAGTGTCCCCATGTAGCAGCTCCCTCTCTAACAGCTCCTCTTTGTCCCTACAGCCCAAACCAACTGTGTGGACACCACCATTGCCAACTTGCTGGAGGGCAGAGTACCCTTCTTCCCTGAAAGTAAGGAGGCTGGTACCGACCTGCCTGCCCCGTCTACCTCCCAGGCTGCAGCTGCTTCTGGCTTCCAGGGCTCCATAGCTGTGCCTTCTTCCAAGGTACTTTTGGGGGTTGTGTTGTCTCCTCTGGTCGGATGGCTCACAGGACCAGCCATGGCGTCAGAGGAACGGAGCCTTTTACACTGGAGACCGAACTGGTTCGCTGGGTCCTCGCAGAGCCGCTGAGGAGGTCTCCTGGCTTGGTTTGTCTCCTGATGGCTCTTGTGCTTTCTGTTCCAGCCAGCTACAAAGCAATTTGCAAAGTCCCCCGTGGAGCGGCACCTGTCCTTGCAGGAGCGGAAACGAGCGTTGTACGACTATGCCAGGAGGTGAGAGCCCCCCACACCTCACCCTGTCGCCGTCCCAAAGCCCCGTCCCCCGCAGCTCCCCGACACGCCCCCACCACGGGTCAGCCCTTGCTTTGTCCCCTGTCCTCCCGTTCCTCTCCTCTGGCCCCAGAGGGTGGGGTGAGGCAGCAAACCACGGCTGCAGCAGGGAGGAGGCAGATGTTCGGGCGTCTCCTGAATTGCCACTGGGCTGCTGCTGGTTTTGGGGAGCAGGTGGGATAGAAGCTGTTTGCCAGAAGCCCAGCTGCTGAGGGACAGGGCTTGGCAAACAAACCTCATGTGGTTCTTTGGTGTGACGGGTTTGAGGGATGGAGCTAGTGGTGGGACTGTGGATTTCTTGGATGCATGTCGCTGCCGCGGAGCGCTCGTTTGAGACAGGAGGTCACCGTTTGGCAACAGGGACGGTGCAATTAATCTTCCTCGGTGTAAGTGGAGAATTAGAGAACAGGGAGCAAGTTTGACCTCTGTGCCTGGGTTTGGTGAGGCAAATGTTGGAACAAACGTCCGGTTCTGGTGTCCGGGTCTTTAGACAAGATACGGAAAATTGAGAACGAGTTTGGAAGGGAAATGAAGTCTGTTAGACTCGCTGAGTGTGAGGTGGCACACTGTAACTGCGGGTGAAGGAACCAGGTTCTGAAAGGCTGGTTAGTCTGGCAGTGACTGGGGGTGAGAAGTTGTGGGCAGAGAGACCCTGCACAGGTAACTGTGGGGTGGGTACTGCTGAAAAGGACACGGATTAATCGGTGGAATCAGCTTCCAGCAGAAGCGCTGGCTCGTGGGTGCCTGGGCCCCTCCCGTGAGCCTGGCCGGTTCCGTAGCAGGTGGCAGATAAGGGAGCGCGTGGCTGATCCCACGGGGCTGATTCCTGAAGGATCCTTTCCGTTTGGAGGAATTACGTCTCGGGAGTGTCCCGGGCCGGGGGCTGAGGCAGAGCCGCCCGCCGCGCTCCCTGAGACCGGGGATGGGGGGTTCC